ATATTAAGTCAAAGTCCAAATCACAGTCTTTGTTGTCCAAACTTAATTGATATGCTTGGTGTGGAACATTATATTGAAACTGTCTATTCCTCGTTTAGTGACGCCTGTGGAGAGACGACTCTGCCTGTGAGCTGCTGGATTGGCGGTCAGCGCTTGAAACATCACACGCCGTTGCTAACAAGTCAGTGGTTGACTACTCTTTGACTCTGACTTCGTCTACTCCATGCGTTTCTTTGCCCAGAAGGACGCGATCATCTCTGGCTTCATTCAGTCCGGCATCGACACAACACCATGGATCACACAGCGGAAGACACGAGCCAGGACCAGAGCTAGAACTTCTCTGCCGCCCCTACCGGTCTTTGAGATCTCGACCCGGAAACGCTTCTCCCCTCTTCGCGAGTCGGAACGCGACGACGTCGTGATAATCGGCACGTCCATGATCCGTCATGTCCGTGCTGCCTCAGGTAAGGATAAGGTGTGCACTCACTGCTTTCCTGGTGCTCATGTTCTTGATGTTGCTGCACAGGTTCCTGAAATCCTGAACGGTGATGAGCGCGTCGGAGCTGTTGTGCTGAATGTGGGAGCGAACGACATCAGGCTGAGGTTCTGAAGGACTACAGGAGCCTGATCGAGACGGTACGCAACACATCGCCTGAAGTAACGAGCCTTGCACATCTAACCCTTTCTGTGTCTTCTTTAAATAATCTATTCTAGATTTTTTTTTGACTAAGTTTAATTAGTCGTCTTCTAATTGATTTATTTTTAAAAAAGAAAATGCATTTCTAATCCTTGAGCAAATCCATGCACACGCTATTTGGCAGGCGCTTAACTGTTCAATTACTGGCCAGAATTGAACAGTTAAAGCCCCACGTTGGGCGCCATGTTTTACGGAGTGTGTGCTTTAATCTTAACACCTTTTAACCTTATTATTTATTATCCTTAGGTTAAGTCGAGTAAGTCAAATCTACCCTAAATCATAAGCATTCGCATGGTATTTACAATTGTTCAGATGACTTCTCTGTGTTCAGTTCTTGCTTAAGGTTTATGAACACTGCCAGACGATTACTTGTAATTAGAATTAGTTATTTATTAATGGAAATATTCCAGAAATAAAAGTTAGGCTCAAACTTGAATTCTTTATGCTCAAACTCTGCAATCTACTCCTGTGTAAGGGAAATCGTTATGGACATCAGCTATGCTAATTATTTCCCATCTGTTCTCTGCTGTTATCTTGGGGCGCTTGTCCCGAGAAAAATGGTGTTCGTCAACTCCAGTTTGTCGGAGCTGCTGTACTGCACGCGGGAGTGAACAACATTAGGCTGAGGTTCTGAAGAGGTTCTGAAGAAGTTCTACAGGAGCCTGATCGAGACGGTATGCAACACATCGCCTGAAGCAACGATCATCGTGTCTGGGCCGCTTCCCACGTACAGACAAGGACAGGAAAGGTTCAGTAGATTATTTGCACAAATCTAATAAATAGTAAGTCAAAGTCCAAATCAAAGTCTTCGTCCAAACTTAATTGATATGCTTAGTGTGGAACATTATATTGAAACTGTGTCTATTCCTCGTTTAGTGACGCCTGTGGAGAGACGACTCTGCCTGTGAGCTGCTGGATTGGCGGTCAGCGCTTGAAACATCACACGCCGTTGCTGACAAGTCAGTGGTTAGTTGCTCTTTAACTCTGACTTCGTCTACTCCATGCGTTTCTCTGCCCAGGAGGATGCGATCATCTCTGGCTTCATTCACTCTGGCATCGACACAACACCATGGATCACACAGCGGAAGACACGAGCCAGGACCAGAGCAAGAACCTCTCCGCCGCCCCTCCCGGTCTTCGAGATCTCGACCCGAAACCGCTTCTCCCCTCTTCGCGAGTTGGAACGCGACGCCACCGTGATCATGGGCACGTCCATGGTCCGTCATGTCTGTGCTACCTCAGGTAAGGATAAGGTGCACACTCACTGCTATCTTGGTGCTCATGTTCTTGATGTTGCTGCACAGGTTCCCGAGATCCTGAACGGTGATGAACGCGTCGGAGCTGTTATGCTGAACTCGGGAGCGAACGACATCAGGCTGAGGTTCTGAAGGACTACAGGAGCCTGGTCAAGACGGTACACGACACATCGCCTGAAGTAACGAGCCTTGCACATCTAACCCTTTCTGTGTCTTCTTTAAATAATCTTTTCTAGATTTTTTTTGACTAAGTTTCATTAGTCGTCTTCTAATTGATTTATCTTTAAAAAAGAAAATACTTTTATAATCCTTAAGCATATCCACGCACATGCTATTTAGCAGGCGCTGAACTGTTCAATTACTGGCCAGAATTGAACAGTTAAAGCCCCACGTTGGGCGCCATGTTTTACGGTGTGTGTGCTTTAATCTTAACACCTTTTAACCTTATTATTTATTATTCTCAGGTTAGGTCGAGTAAGTCAAATCTGCCCTAAATCATAAGCATTCAAATGGCATTTACAATTGTTCAGATGACTTCTCTGTGGTCAGTTCTTGCTTAAGGTTTATTAACAACACTGCTAGACTGCTATTACTTGTAATTAGCATTAGTTATTTATTAATGTAAATATTCCAGAAATAAAAGTTAGGCTCAAACTTAAATTCTTTATGCTGCAAAACTCTGGAATCTACTCCTGTGTAAGGGAAATCGTTATGGACATCAGCTATGCTAATTAATTCCCATCTGTTTTCTACTGTTATCTTGTCCCGAGAAAAATGGCGTTCGTCAACTCCAGTTTGTCGGAGCTGCTGTATTGCACGTGGGAGTGAACAACATCAGGCTGAGGTTCTGAAGAAGTTCTATAGGTGCCTGATCGAGACGGTATGCAACACATCGCCTGAAACAACAATCATCGTGTCTGGGCCGCTTCCCACGTACAGACAAGGACAGGAAAGGTTCAGTAGTTTATTTGCACACACACCTAATAAATAGTAAGTCAAAGTTCAAATCACAGTCTTTGTTGTCCAAACTTAATCTGACTTCGTCTACTCCATGCGTTTCTCTTCCCAGGAGGACGCGATCATCTCTGGCTTCATTCAGTCCGGCACCGACACCACACCATGGATCACACAGCGGAAGACACGAGCCAGGACCACAGCTAGAACCTCTCTGACACCCCTCCTGGTCTTCGACATCTCGACCCGGAACCGCTTCTCCCCTTTTCGCGAGTCGGAACGCGACGACGCTGTGGTCATTGGCACGACAATGGTCTGTCATGTCCGTGCTACCTCTGATGAGCACTGATGAGCACATCAGAGCTGTTGTTCTGAACGTGGGAGCGAACAACATCAGGCTGAGGTTCTGAAGGACTACAGGAGCCTGATCGAGACGGTACGCAACACATCACCTAAAGCAACGATAATTGTGTCTGGACCGCTGCCCTCTTACAGACAAGGACGGGAAAGGTTCAGTAGATTATTTGCACTAATTGAATGATTAATGTCATTGTGTAATGAACAGAAACTGCTCTTTGTAAATAATTGGAATCTGTTCTGGGAGAGACCTAGGCTCTATTATGCTTCACCTCAGCAGAATCGGAGCGGCTGTTCTGTCGGACAACATCTCCAAGACGTTACACGCCTAATGACTAGTAAGTCAAAGTCGCTCCTTTGAAAGGAATGTTTCTCCTGGTTCCATCTCTTGGACTGATGTCTCTGCCTGTAAGGCTATCTTTTGCCATCCTAATATACGAGAATCACCCCATGTATATGGTTGTATAAAAGTCATGCTGGATTTTTCCTGGGCTTTTGCTGCCATAGCTTAGCCTCTTTGGAATAGACTTATTAGACTTTCAATCACCCTTCAACCCTTCATTTTTTTATGTGCACATCTAACCCGTTTTGGGTGTTAAATAATCTTTTCTAGATTAGTATATTTTTTTCGACTAAGTTTGTCTAGTCGTCTTCTATTTGGTGATGTATCTTTTTCTTTTTTTTTCCAAAAAAAGAATTTTTTTTTAATCCTTATGCATATCCACACACATGCTATTTAGAAGGCACTTAACTGTTCAATTACTGGCCAGAATTGAACAGTTAAAGCCCCACGTTGGGCGCCATGTTTTACGGTGTGTGTGTATGTGCGCTTTAATTTTAACACCTTTAACATTATTATTTTTTATCCTCAGGTTAGGTCGAGTAAGTCAAATCTGCCCTAAATCATAAGCATTCAAATGGTACTTACAATTTGTTCAGATGACTTCTCTGTGGTCAGTTCTTGCTTAAGGATTATTAACGACACTGCTAGACAATTGCTTGTAATTAACATTAGTTATTTATTAATGTAAATATTCCAGAAATAAAAGTTAGGCTCAAACTTAAATTCTTTACGCTCAAACTCTGGAATATCCTTCCCGATATGGTTTGACGCTCTGACTCGCTGTCAAAGTTTAAAACTAGACTAAAGACGCATCTCTTTAGCCAAGCATTCACATACTGCTTACCTTTTATTCCTGTTGAATCAGATCGAATGCTTTTAATACTTTAAAACTTGAAGAGTCTGTAGGTTACTTGTATAGGTTGCATAGTATTTACAGTCATTACTTTTCCTGTGTGTATTGTGTGAATGATGGGTGGTTGGGCAGATATTGTGTTATTGCGGTAGGTGGTATGCCATACGGAACTGTTGCCAATGAAACGCATTACCGCGACAGTGGGGCTCGACAGCCTTAGTCAAATGGGTTGGCGCATATGGTTGGGTTGTGGAGAGCTTGTGAGTGTGTTTTAACATCTACTCCTGTGTAATGGAAATCATTATGAACATCAGCTATGCTAATTATCTCCCATCTGTTTTCTGCTGTTATCTCGGGACGCTTGTCCCGAGAAAAATGGCGTTTGTCAGCTCCAGTTTGTATCCAGCCTCTCATGGAGACTTCAGATGCCCCAACACCTGCAATGAGAAGACTAAATGCCTGTGAAGAGACGACTCAACACCTGTGAAAGATGACTCGACGCCTGTGGAGAGATGACTTAATGCTGGCGATATGTTATGCCCTTAATATTACATGATTATCTAAATGTAATTTTCCATGTACTTTTCTGTAATGCACTTTCTGTAAAGCTGCTTTGAAACAAGTATTGTGAAAGGACTATACAAACAAACAAACTTGAATTCACTTGCAGGGCCAACAGACACGGAGCTTACAGCGGGGGAGCTTCACTGCAAAGCAGACAGGTGAGCATACAGGTACGTAATCCTCTTCTTTAAGTGACAGACAGAGAACTTACGGCTGGAGGTTTCACTGCAAAGCAGTCGGTTAAATGTTCACTACGTGTCTCTCTTCACAGTGGACTGCCAGATAAATACACTCAATGGTCTGAAGTACAACAATGTTAGCCTCTTCTTATGCAGTCAGAATGTGATGGGAAAACTCCGGTAAGAAGTGGACATCCAGGGGTTTAGGTTCACACTTCACACAGCAAACAGTGCATCACATCCCTTCATCTCAACAATTCAGCACTCAGTGGGAAATACTCATATATATGGCTGTCGCCCTTCTTCTGAACTGGCATTCACATCAAGAGGTCCCACAGACACGAGAGGAGGATGGAAATTGATTTGGACTACTCATGATCTCTCACAAATGATCTTCTGTCCCATGGTTACCACCTTCTCATTGAATCAGCCTGCTCTTTCTCCCAACTCACAGCACCGTGCCCGTTCGCCGGCCCCACTTCCTCTTCACCACGGCTCACACTTTCTCTGAGAGCACTTCTCCCAAAACAATGCCCCGTTTGCTCTGTACTTCCTCCTTGTATACTCTTCTAATTGCAACGTGTTTCTATGTTCCTGACCAATTGACTATTTTATGCCGATGGGGTTTGACTTGTGTGGGTCTTGACTTGTTTGACTTGTGTGGATCTTGACTTGTGGGTGTTGACTTGTGTGAATCTTGACTTGTGGGTTTTGACTTGTGTTTGACTTGAGTGGATCTTGACTTGTGTTGATCTTTACTTGTGTTTGACTTGTGGGTCTTGACTTGTGTTTGACTTGTGTGGGTTTTGACTTGTGTTTGACTTGTGTTGATCTTTACTTGTGTTTGACTTGTGTTGATCTTTACTTGTGTTTGACTTGTGGGTCTTGACTTGTGTTTGACTTGTGTGGATCCTGACTTGTGTGGGTCTTGACTTGTGTTTGACTTGTGTGGGTCTTGACTTGTGTGGGTCCTGACTTGTGTGGGTCCTGACTTGTGTGGATCCTGACTTGTGTTTGACTTGTGTGGGACTTGACTTGTTGATCTTGACTTGTGTGGGTCTTGAGTTTTGTTTGACTTGAGTGGGTCTTGACTTGTTGATCTTGACTTGTGTGGGTCTTGAGTTGTGTTTGACTTGTGTGGGTCTTGACTTGTTGATCTTGACTTGTGTGGGTCTTGAGTTGTGTTTGACTTGAGTGGATCTTGACTTGTTTGACTTGTGTTGATCTTGACTTGTGTTTGACTTGTGGGTCTTGACTTGTGTTTGACTTGTGTGGATCCTGACTTGTGTTTGACTTGTGTGGGTCTTGACTTGTGTTTCACTTGTGTTTGACTTGTGTGGATCCTGACTTGTGGGTCTTGACTTGTGTTTGACTTGTGTGGGTCTTGACTTGTGTGTGTCTTGAGTTGTGTTTGACTTGAGTGGATCTTGACTTGTTTGACTTTTGTGGATCCTGACTTGTGTGGGTCTTGACTTGTGTTTGACTTGTGTGGATCCTGACTTGTGGGTCTTGACTTGTTGATCTTGACTTGTGTGGAATAAATGACTTGGAAGAGAATTTATTAATGTCATGAAATTGATTTGACAACATTTGCTTTTGTATTTATGGCTTGGACACTTGTACCATTTTTAAGCCCCTTTCCCCCTTCTTAATACTCATTTTGTGTTATGACCATTTTTTTTGTCTGGTCTATTTGCACTGATGATATTGTGCTTTTGGTTTGCTATTCTTTGCATTTATTTAATCTTCTAATACTTCCATACCTCTGTTACCTTTCCCTTTAAACTGTTTGTAAATATGCTCTTGTCCTATTAGTTTTAGTCAATTTTAGTTGTATAGTGCTTCTCAAAATAGTTTAAAAGTCTCTTTATGCCACTTAATTTTAGCCTTTGTGTTCCTTTTCATCATTTATATTGATTTGTCCTAGTATCCTCTTCGAATCCCTCATTTAAGTTTGATTGTCAAATGATGGCCTTTGTTCATTATTTCTTATGTGTTTTTTTTATATTGTCTTTAAAATTTTGTATTTTTACACTTTTGCAAAAAGTCCCTATTTTTTTCCCCCATTGCTTCATGCTCCTTTTTTCCCTTTTGTAGAAATGTTTTGTATTTATGCTGTTGATTGAATGTATTACATTGACAAATGTAAGGGAATACAACAGGCAATCATTTTCTTCTATACATAAATGGTTTGAAACTAACAAAAAAATGCATTAACTGTACTGTCATTTTAATGCATTGTAGTTTTAGGTCTTGCATTTTTATGGTCTGAAATTAAATATCTCCAACTTCTTAAATGTTACTGTTCAGAGAGAGACTGTGGGCTTTCTGAGAAGGAACATGGCATTCTTGTATGTACAGTCACTGCAAATCTTCACTACATTAATGCCTTTTATTATTTATACTTTTATAAATCTGTACAAGTAATTTGCTTTATACAACACAGTCCTGAAACTGCTGCTGTTGTATTTATGCCTTAACCTCATGTATTTAAGATTTTTTTTTATTGTCACAATGGCACTTTTTGTATCGGTGCATTTTCCCATCTTTTGTATTAATTTCATTCCTTTTTCTTGTCTTTCCCTTTTTTTTTCCTAAGCCTTTTTTTTTTGTTTGATTTAATGTCTTCCATCTTTTATTAATGCTCCTGGTCTTAGTCAATGGGACAGGGCATAAAAAGGCTTTACCCTGTTCTATTTTGTATTGAAAGGAACTGCGTCAAATGGTTTGTCTGTACTTTTTGCATAATTATGCACTTGTTATTCTCTTACTGTCTTTTGTATGTTCGCATTAGTCTCATCATGCCCATTTTCTGCTTTGGTTCATCTCTGTTGTTGTGGTCACTTGTATTTCATGCTGCGATTTCATTCAGCCTGTTTGAATTTTGTTCTTCCCCTGATGGTATGGCTATCGGGTTCATGGGGTACTTGGTTCTCCACATTAACAGAAGTTAATGAAAATGAAGTTTCTTTTTAAGTGTTCAATTGTTGGAATTGGGTGGGTGGGACTTGTAAAGACAAGGGACTCGTCAAAGGACTTGTGGATCTTGACTTGTGTTAGACTGACTTGTCCAGGGTTGATTTCAACCCTTCACCTCATCAATCAACTGCAGGTGCAAATCAAAGTTACTTGAGCTACAATATATAGGGGTGTAGCCCACTCACAAAGACAATTTCTTTTTTCAGTTTTTTTGTTTTTATTTATATTGTACTAAATGTAATTTTTGTATTTATGGTTTCGCCTCTTGTTCCATTTAAGATCAATTTTGTCCTTTTATTATCCCTTTCTATTTTATGACCCTTTTGTCTCAAATAACATAAAAAAACAATAAAAATAAAAACCTAAATATACCATAAATGCATTTTTTAAAATATATTTCTTTCACTGGTTTCTAACATTTTCTGTCTGCTTGTTTGCCTTTCTTATATGCTATTGTTTTCCTTTCTTATATTGTAAAGCTTTGTACTGAAGTTGTAAACTTACTTTTTTTGTATTTTGTTGCACTTGATTTTGTTTTCATTTTAATTTATTTTTTTTTTTTTTTTTACTTGGGTTAACAAAAGGCTTTAAACAGAACATGGAAACAAATATGGACCATAAACTGTGTTTCTACTCTTTTATGACTTTACTTGTGCCCATATTGTGTAATTTGGAACACCCCATTTGTGAATCGTAACCTTTTTTTGCATTTTCAAAATTACTTTAAGTTTTTGTGAGGTTTATAATCTGTTTTGGTTTATTTTGTGTTCCCATTAAACATCTGGAGGGACCGGCCAACACAGGATAGACAATCCAGTCTGATGTTCTTCACACTCAGCCTCTCATTGATGCTGCTCCTCCCCCCTCCTCTACCCGTGTCATCTAGTTAATGTGGCCTGTGTTTGTTGGCTACTTTCAGCCCTTTGGTTCATCCTTCATTTTACCCTTTACACCTTGAGTCCACCTTTGTGCCAAGCTCCAGACTTATGGCGGAGCTGGTAATCTGAGGCCAAAAACAGGTCGACAGAGTGAAAGTTAGGTTGATGCTCTATCAGGTCCTCCATGGGCAGTTATTGCCCTGCAGTGCAGTGGTCTTGTCTCTGCCCAGGTCCCCATCTCTAATGGCTCCATCTGAGTTGGTTGTCCACCGAGTTGTAACTGGCACATTCACCAAAGGTCCCCCCTATCCTTTTATTGACTGTGTTTTGGCTCTACATCCCATCCTAAATCAGCTTTGTCCACTTGACTTATTTTTGCTACTTTGTATTGTTTAACCTTGTTTTTTGTATTTCAGCACATTTTAGGTTTTTTATTTTAGGATTTTTTATGCCCTCTATATTTCAATCAGTCTGTCTTTTTTTTCCTTTTGTACAGTATTTTATTTACTAACTTCTATTTAAACTTTGTTCTGTGCCCTTTATGGTCTTGTCTAAGCTATTCTAAGACAGAACAAAATAAAGTTGTTAAGCATAAAAGCTGCACGTCTCAGATTATTCTTCCTTTTGCATTCCTATTGCCCTTTAGTGTTTGTATTTCTGCTGTTTGCCTTTTATGCCTTTGCCAGTTAAGTCCCTTTTTTGTGCCCTGTTGTAGTGATTTTACATATTTTTTTTCCTTGTGGTGTTAGATTAAATTTGTAATACCCTTTATGCCTTAATGCTCCTTAAATGTTGTCTCTGCACTTATGTCCTTATCATGGTCTCAATGGCACTTTTTGCATTTGTGCATTTTTCCCATCTTTTGTATTTTGATCTCTTGCCTTTGCATTTGAACCATCACTGCTCTTGTCTTTGCATTTTCCCTTAGCCTATTTTAGTTTTATTGGCTTTTTATGATTGAATGTTTTCCATATATCTTTAATTTATGCTCCTTGCCTTGTAAGCCATTGTGCTGTTTTATGGCCCAGTCCCATTGACCATTTTTGTGCCCATTCCTATTTTTCTGGAACAGTTGTATTTTGTATTTAAATGTACTTTATAAAAGGTTTGCTTTACTGTTTGTGTGTTTTGTAAATGTATGTGCCTGTTTATATTCTGACTGCCTTCTGCATGTTGGCATTAGTGGCTGTCTTACTACACCCTTTTTCTGCTTTGATTCATCTCTATGTTCTTGTGCTGATTTTTATTTGTGCCTGATGCTGCTATTTCATTCAGCCTGTTTGAATTTTGTTCTCCCCGATGGGATGGTTGAGTTTTCTGGGTACTTGATTTATTTTCATGAACTTCTGGAAAACTGGAGATCTTTCTTTTCAAGTGTTCAGCTGTTGTACTTCAGTGGACCTCATTGTACCTCATGAGTCTATCAACTGCAGGTGCAAATCAAAGTCACTTAAGCTACAATATATAGGGATGCCTCCTGTGCAGACACTTTTTTTTCTTAAGTGTTTTAGTTACATTGTACTAATTTTGTATTTATCTTAATTAAAGGGACAACCAAACTATGGTTTGTCCTCTTGTTCCATTTGACTTTCTATTTTATGACCCTTTTGTCTGTCTTTGCATTTATTTTATATTTAGATCTTTATTTTAAAGCATTGTTTTTATTGTTAATAAATACCTTTTAACTTGTTTCTTACATTCTGTTACCTTTTATGCCATTGTTTGCCCCTTCTTATATTGTAAAGCTTTGTATGAAAGTTGTAAACTTGTCTTGTATTTTGTTGCACTTTGTTTTGTTTTTCATTTTAGTTTTTAAACATTTTCAAAATTACTGTAAAGTACTTGTCAGGTTATAATCTTTTTTTTCTTCTTTTTTTATAACCCATTATCCTGTGTTGGCTGGTCCCTCCAGCTGTTTAAACAGTC